ACCACATATCGCCGCCACGAGTCGCCCAAAGGCACGTGGCCGCTATCCCTGATGGCTCCGCCGACCGCACTACCACTACCACTACCTGTTGAGGTGGTCCCGCCGGGCACTGCTGCGACGGCGGCGGTGCAACGGTGTGGGACCTCAACATCTCCTCCAATCCTGCCTCGGCAGCCTCTAGCCACTGCCGCTCTGCCGCCGCCCGTTGCCGCGCCGCGGTCTCCTTCTCTTCGGCCTCAAGCAGCCGCCGTTGCCGCCGCTGCCACTCCTCCGCCTCCTCCTCACGCCGCTTTTGTACCACCTCCTCCTCCTCCGCTGGGTGGTGCTGCTCCGCGCCCTCCTCCCGCGCCTCCTCCCGCGATGTTGTCCACTGCTGGTGCTCTTCCTGCGCGTCCCACCACTGCTGCCCGTCCAGCTGCGCCTGCGCCTCCATCCGCAGCCGCCGCTCCTCCTCCTCTCGCTGCCTCGCCGCTGCCACCTCTGCCCACGCTGTCTCCAGCTCCTTACGTAACGTTGCCTCTCTCTGCCGCGCCGCCTCCGCCTCTCTTTGCCGAGCCTTCTCCACTTCCTTCCGCACCTCCGCCTCTCGCCACCGCGCTGCCTCTGCCTCCTGCACCGCGGCGTCCTCCCGCTCCCGCGCCTTTTGCAACTCCTCCCGCACCTCCGCCTCTGTCGCCTCAAGCCGCTTGTACTTGACCCGCAGCTTCTTGAGGTCCGCCTTGAGCTCGTGTCGCCGCTTCCGGTACTTGGCCTCCCGCGAGTAGGACGCCTGCACCGCCTTGCGTGCCTGCTGCCGTACAGCCTCCATATCGCGGCACACTGCCTGCTCCTCCTCGTGGAGCTCCCAGTAAGCGTGGCCGTAGCTGTACCTGGGGGGGGGCCGGAGGGGGGGAGCAACACAAACGAGGGTGTCAAGGTCCGCAGCGGCCGCCGCCGCCGCCGCCGCCGCAGCGACAACTTCACAGTCGTTATGACCGCAATTGAGACACCACCATCACCGCCACCACCGCCACCACCACCACCACCACCGCCACCACCACCACCACCACCACCACCGCCACCACTGCCACCACCGCCACCACCGCCACCACCACCACCACCACCACCACCACCGCCACCACCATCACCACCATCACCACCACCGCCACCACCGCCACCACCGCCACCACCGCCACCACCACCACCACCACCACCACCATCACCGCCACCACCACCACCACCACCACCACCACCACCACCACCACCAACAACAACAACAACAACAACAACAACAACAACAGGAGCGCAGCGGAGGCTCAAAGGTTTCCTAGCCGGGGTGCTGAATGATAAGCGTGTGTGCAGGTAAGCAGGAACCGGACTGTAATGCTCAGGTTGTCAGGTCCATGTAGCCTGATATGCCAAAATCTACCAAGTATCTATCAAGCAAGGTCCCCGTGGGATGTGCACACACACACATATCTGATGGAAGAATATGTTTCATCGGTGACTGTGGCGCCCCAGCCTGCAGCGCCCCAGCCCGCACCCTTCCAAGGGTCACACACTGCAGGGTGGGGGTACACAGCAGCGGCACGGGGCCGCCATAACGCCAACACGGGACCGCACAGGCCTGATGCCTAGTTACTCGTGGCGCTAAAAAATCAGGGCTGCACGACTGGTACGGGGGACTGAAGCGGTTGCGGTAACTAACGCTCCACAATCACTATCACAATCACAATCAGCCGAGAGACAATCAAATCAGCAAACCCAGCACATCCTCCTCCTAAACCTAACCTAGGGTGGACCGAAGCAGGCACCGTGGTCCCAACCTGAACTAACCCGACCGGTCGGAGCCGACCTAAGCCCACCGGGGGCAGAGGGGCAGAGGGGCAGAGGCAGGGGCTTACATGACATGCTGCGGGCCATCAATGACGGCGGTCGCCACCATGACCAGCACCGGCAGAATGCCCATAATCACCGCCGTCACGACCACAGCATTGGGACCACCTTTCGGTTGGGGGAGCGGGGGGCGGGGTGTGTGGGGACAAAGGGGCGTGCAGGAGGGCGCTGCAGAGGGGGCCGCCGCAGGAATGTGATAGATAGGTAGATGGATAGATAGGTGGATAGATAGATGGATAGATAGATAGATCTTAAAACGCCTAGCCGTGGACAAGCACACGCTGACGTCTCCCGCGGCGCCAGATGCCGCCCTTGCCCAGGCAGGCAGACTGGAAAAGGGCTCGGGACCCCCTTCCCCACGTTCCAAGCCACCACGCACTGCACACTGCCCCACGGTGCACCTCCTGCCAGGCCCTCACCCTCACCTACCCTGCCGGAAATCAGCCTCCCCTTCGCACAAGGCCCGCAGGTTGCGTCGCGGGTCGTTGGCGGCGGCCACCAGGCAGCCGAGCCGAGCCGCCGTCACGAACACCTTCCCACAGCTCTCCGGCTCTGGTGCCCCGGCAATGGCAATGGTGGGGAAGGGTGGGCGTGGGGTGGGGAAGGGTGGGCGTGGGGTGGGCTTTGGGCGGTCGGGGCATATGTGGACGGATATAGAGACACACATGTCACAGGTACACACGATGATTCCTGGGAAAACATCTTTGTCGTGGGGCAGACAAGTCGACGGCCAAAAAAGGCCGTTTTCTCCAGAGCGATGGACTAACGCGTGTTCGGTTAGATGTCTCATACGCGCACAAGAATGTGCGTATGAGCTTAAGTAGGGCCATCCTGTGCACCCGGGTGAAAAGCGCCATAAAGGGAATCCTCACGGTTATCGTGCCCACAACGAATTGTGTACTCGACAACAGACCAGCGCTGACATCTGTCTGGGTCTGCGCACCTTCCTTCAGCCGCAAGCGAAGTTTCTCGTCATCGAAATCCAAGTGGTTCAGTTGCTTCAGCAGCGAGTCCGGCAGCGCGCAGTCGGCCGCGTAGCTGCGGGCAACGGGTCAGCGGGGGCCAGGAGTGGCCACAGCCGCACCAATGGCAATCGGTTACTTTCATGTGAAAAATTAATCATAAAAATATAATTGATAAAAAAATAAATCATAAAAATTAAATGATAAAAAATTAAAAACCCAAACGTGATTCCAACTCGGATGCAAACAGCCAGGAGCTCAAGGCCAGGGTTGGGAACAGTGAACATGGCCGGGGAGCGCGGGGTCCGGTCCGGTCCGGAGAAGTCGTAAGGGGCGACGCGTGGTGCGCCAGCGGGCCCGGGGATGGCGCTGCAGCTCTGAAGCAGCCGCGCTTTCACACGTGAAGTGGCCGGGACAAGGGTGGGGTGCTCGCCGGCGTGTGTGCCGTTCATGTTGTGCGCCTGTCCGCAAAACCCGGATTCATGCCCGTGGACTAAGGCCGTGTTGACGTCGAAGAACAGGAGACGATGCAAACAACAACGGACAACGTAAAACGCTTTGCTTGCGCACAAACCAATTCACTTCAGGACAACCGAGGCGGGATAGATCCCACCAGCGCGTGAGCGTCAGCACCCTGTATCTACACGCCGATGCGTGCGGTACACCCGACTCACCAAGGTCCCCCCCGGCAAAACGACACCTTGCTGAGGCCCCTGCCCGCCCTGCCCTGCCCTGCCCTGCCCTGCCCTGCCCTGCCCTGCCCTGCCCTGCCCTGCCCTGCCCTGCCCTGCCCTGCCCTGCCCTGCCCTGCCCTGCCCTGCCCTGCCCCTCTACGTGCTCCCCCCCAATCACCGGCCGAAGTCATGTTTCCTAGCTGCCGAGAAGGCGTAAGGACACGGGTGCTCCGGGTCGTCCCACTCCTGCAGCGGGTCGGCCAGCGCCTCCGCCTGCCAGTCAGGATTGAGCCAAGCCTGGGGCGGGTGGGGGAGAGCCAACGCATCATCGTCGTCATGTGATGGTGATGTTTAGAGAGGGGAAAGGGGGAAGGAAGAATCAAGTTACTAAAGGCGCAGCAAACACCCAACAGAAGAAGAAAGATTGGAGAGAGGCAGCGGGTGTGCAGAAGTGCGTCTCACACAAATTGCTTAGTGAGCGCGCGATGGAGAGGACAGTAGTAGGAGGAGGTTAGGCCGGCCATGTTTGGGGCGTCAAGTAAAGAAGGATCAGGAAAAGGATTGTGACCATGAGAAAGCCAGGGCCAGGGCCAGGGCCCGGAGACAGCAAGATTCCGGACGACTACAAGAACAAGGACAGCAACACCGACGACATCAACAACCAGCGGCAGCCAGGGTAAACGCAGGTGTGAAAGCGAGACGACGCGACGCAAGAGAAAAACACTCTACAGGCAGAGAGTAAAAGAGAGACCACCAAGTTGCAACGGGCTGGCGGCGACCGGTCCACCGGAGCTCGGAGGAGCCCACCCACCTCCGCGCTGTACAAGCCGATGAACTCCCCCGCGTTCAGCTTGTGGCCAGGCCGCACACGCAGACTGGACTGGCCGTGCATTTCCTCCACGTCCTGCCAGGGGTGAGCGTCCTGGGGGTCCTCACCAAGGGTGACCTGCTCCACCTGCACGAGGCGGCGGCACCAGCAGGCGGTCCAGGAAAACTGGCAACAGTAAAAAAGCCAGATTGAGGAAAGAGGAACCATGTCATATGAGAAATGCAAAGCATCAAAAACCTGCCAACGCCAAAAGCAGGAATCACGCGGCGCGCGGCGCCCTTGGCTGCGGAACCAAAAGGCAGCTTGCCATTGTGATGGACATGACCAGACCATGTACCTGAAGACTGTGTATGCGTGTGTGTGCGTGTGTGTGTTTGTGTGTGTTTGTGTGTGTGTGTGTGCCCCTATATGGGGGGACGCCTGGACCCGAAATTTGTGTTGCGTTGCATTGCATTGCATTGCATTCTGGCGTCTTGCTTTTCGCAGCTGCAGAGTACATCAAGGCGGCCGCCGCACCCCTCCGTAGCCGTTCCCTTCCCGCGCATCATCCCAGGCTAGTCGAGTCCGGGGCCCCCCCTCCATCCCCGTCCACTGAGGGGCTGTTGTCCACACGCACCTTACGCGACGGGGGAATGAGCTCCGGCAGGTGCTCCAGGATCTGCGGGTGAGGTGGTCGGGGGCCCCAGGGGTAGTCAAATGCAGAGGCGGGCAGGAAACAAGATAGGAAAGAGTGTCGCGTGTGAGGTCATGCGCCGGCTCATATGGCCCGGTGACGGCGTCGCGCCGTTTCGAACACAGCCGCTGGTCAGCGGATGGGAGAGAGAGGTAGAGAGAGGTTGAGAGCTAAGCACGGACCTGCACGGAACACACCTAACGCGGTACGCGTCCGCCATGACATGTAGGTATTAGCCGGCACTCTGTCCTCCCAGTCCGCAGGCCGTACCTCAGCGTTGGTCAGCGACCGCCAGTCCCTGCGCGCCTGCCGCCCTCCGGGCGCCCCTGCGCCGTCCGCTTCTCCACTTCCCCCTCCGCCCCCTCCCCCCTCCAACGTCAGAGCAGCCGCCATGCGCTCTGCAGCCGCCCGCCGCAACCTCTCCTCCAGCTCTTGCTGAACGAGCTTGAGCTGCGGAACAGCAACGCAGGAGGGGAAATCAGTGAGTGATGACGGCTATGCCCATTGGACTACAACTAAGGGGCGTATCAAGATTAATACTTGGCATGAACGGCGAAATATCAATCGCCGACACTCAAACACAGGAAGAAGAGCAATCATACGACGCAAAAGTCAATACAGACAACTGCCGACGTCCGAAGCTTCTGCTGTCCGAGTCCATAGTACAGGACGGCGGGGGGGAAGAGGCAGGGAGAGCTGGGTAAGCGGGCCAGCAAGCTCAGGGGGATGAGGGAGAACATTCATATTGTCAGGGGTCTGTGTGTGCACCGACTCCAGCTTCATGATCGTATGCTCTTCTGAATGTGGGCGCGACGCCATGCGCACATTGTATTCAGGCAGCTGCACAGGCGCCACAACAAACTCCCCAAGCTCATGATGGTGCGCCACGGATGCGGCTCAAACCGGTCAAACCGTCCACAGCACCACCCAAGTCCTGAGTCCGGCTGCTCTTCCCCCCATGCGAGGTGGACGAGAAGTTCCCCGGGGGGCCCCGGACGGAGTTCGGTCGGTCTTGACCACGCCCTTTCCGTCTTCTCCTTGGGCTTAAACCCTAAGAGCCCTAAGCCCCCTTCCCCTCCTCCTCTTCTACGTTTGTCCCGCGCCGCTGTCCCCCGCGCCGCTGCTTCTTCAGTATCAGCTCGGGCTCAGTTTCACCCCTACTTGCCTCTTTCTGCGTCAGCCGCTCGTGGCTCAGTACCCTCACCGCCTTCTGGTCCTGCAGCCTTCCCAGCCGGCCCTGCGCAGCAACAACAACAACAGGGACAAAAGGCAAAGCGCACTTGTGAAGGCACACCGGGCAAAAGGCGGCGGCGCGGCAGGGACCGTTTGACGGCCTACAATAAGGGGAGGGAGGGGAAGCGGGAGTCTCGGGGCGCCACTTGCACCCATCCCATTTCATCGCGCCCCGAAAGGTTGTGCACCAGTCTTCCGAGTGGTCGACTGGTCCATCCGGCTTTCCGTCAAAAGCCCTGTCGACAACAACGCTGCATCGCAGCTCGTTGTCGTCGTCGTCGAATGACTTACGGGAATCCAAGCCCGCATTCTCCGCGGCCCCTCCGCGGCCCCACCTCCCGACCTAAGAGTCTGAGCAGACGGAGACTTCTCCCGCCTTAACCCTACACACACACACGCACACACACTTACTTGTTGCGCGGCCTTGATCGCGGATTGGAGAACGAGCGCCGCGGAGCCGTGGAGCACCGTGTTGCACATGACGGGCTTGTCGCCTGCATTGCAGGGGGGGGAGTGCAGGGAAGGAAAACAGCCGACACACATTGGAAGAAAGGGGGAGAAAGGGGAGACTGGACGCAGGGGTAGTACGACCGGGGGAGCGAGGGTGGGCGACGCCTAGCGCACCTCCACCACGACCCGACCACGGGGGCACTGACCCGCGGCCCCCACTGCCCAGAGCGGGGCACTTAAAAAACGGGCGGGGGCACCGGGGGCGCTGCATTTGGGAGAGAGGGACCAAACCGCGGCGAAGAGAACCTAGGTGCCCAAAACCCACCGGCCTTCTCTCAGTGGGCTCCGAAGTTTACCAGTGTGCGCGGACATATGCAAGCCCTAACACTTGCGTACCGTACGTCACAGCGATGGCGGTACGTAGCTCAGTGGGGGGGTGTCCCGTGTGAGGTTTCGGTCGGCGGGCGGATTCGGTCGCTGTGTCCGTGCTAAGCTGACGGCGGCCTCCCCTGCTGCTCCCGACCTTGAACCCTGGGGGGCCCACCCCGTCCCCAAGGGATATCAGCTCTCACCCAACAGCCCGACGCCCCAGCACCGCGGCAGGTCGACTGCGGCCTCCCCCACCGTCCCCGCTTGGCATGCCCGCCGGTAGGCCACCGCGGCCGACAGCTCCACGTAGCCCGGGCGCATGGGATTCCACTCCGGCCGCGAAGGGGCCCGCTCACGCTGCTGCTCCTGCTGTTGGTCCCAGCTTTCCCGGTCGCCGTGCGCGACACAGCTCACGGCACGGACGGAGGATGATGTGCCGGTGGCGGAGGAAGCTACGGGGAGGGCGCCTCCCGAGTAGTTGGAACGCGCGATGGCAGTGGCGATGGCGCCGCCGGCGGCAACCCCGACGTCACCGCGTGCCGCTCCTCCCACGCTGCTGGTTGCGTTGTTTGGGTGCTCCGGAGTAATGTCGGCGTCGTCCCCGTCTCCCTTGAGAACGGCGGCAGCACCGGCCATGGCTAGTGCGGCATCCAACGACTTGGACGCCTGCCTTAAGCTGCCGCCGTCAGCGTCAGCAACGCAAGCAGTCACCGCGCTGAGGCAGGGGTTCGGGGCGTCAGAACCTACGACGGGCCCTGAGGGGGAGCGCCTCAACCCGGCGTCAGCTCCCATCTTCATCTTCTGCATGGCTTTCGCCGCCGCTGCACGGACTGGACGGCCAGTATCATTACCGCCGCGGCCGTGAAGAGCTCCATCTTCTTCGGCAGCGCCGCGATGGCCGTTACCAGCTGCGCGTCGTGCAACCGTGTCCCGCTTGCCGACACCCTGCCGCCCGGCCACGTGCCGTGTCCGCAGCGCTGCCGCTACACCAGGCCCCCGGTGGGGCCCTCGCAGGCCGTCGATGGCCGGATCGTGCTCTTCCTCCCCGTCGTCCGCCAACGCGCTCTCATCCCCTGACCCTGAGTCGCTGCACTGCTCTGCTGTGCTACCGCTACCGGTACTGCCACTACCGCTGTCGCTGCCGCCTTCGTTGATGCGATCCCATATGTCTCTGCGGGCGCCGCTCCCCGAGCCCGCAGCCCGGCGGTCCCCCGGCTTCGGGACTGGTTCAGGCTCCCCCAAGCGCCTTGCTGCCGCAAAAGCCGGATGCAGCGCCGTCGTGGACTGCTGCGCATCTGCACGACCAGCCCTAGCAACCCATACGGTCCCCGGTTCCCACGGGCACCTACGTGCCATTATGGGCCGGTCATAGGCCGCCGCCTCCTCCTCCTCCTCCTCGTCCACCCACGCGTCCTCAGTGGGGTCCGCGGATTCATCCTGCTGCTCTTCACAGCCACCCAGCTGTCCTCTGGCGTCCCCTGCCGGCTGCTGCTGCTGCACATTTAGGATTCGCTCCAACCGAGACGGTAGCCCTGCGCCGTGCTTGGAGAGCGCTCCGTCACTGTTGTCGTCATCGGCGCCACGGTCGTCGTGCGCTGACGGGCGGTGTGCAGCGCGGGCAGTGGTGTCAGCAGTCGGCGCCGCTGCTGCTGGGGGGCTGCCGCCAGCGCCGTCGGCGCCGCGACTACCGACTTCTGCGTCAGCGTGGGCAGTCCTTTCCAAAGCTCTGAACCCGTAGCTGCTGGTCATCGGGTTGTCGTCGAGAAACCCAGACCCACGTTCTGGTGTTGTTGCGGCAAGTGCCGCGTCAAGACAACGTGCGCTTTGAGATTTTGCTTTAGATAAAAATTGGGTAATTTTGTGATTGCCGTGAGCTGTCGATTTGCGTTGTGGCTTCGGCGGGGTTGAAAGGTTGAGTCGCCGCTTCACGGGCGGCCCAGACGGTGGCACCGCGTCTGGGAAGTTGGAGGGCGCCATGACAACCGTGGAGAGAAGGGTGCGGCCCGGACGCTAGACCGGCGACCAAAGTGGGGTTATGAAGAGCAGCGTCTGTGAAAGGGACTTAGGAACGCCTTGGTTGTGCTGCCGGCCGGCTTGCTAGAGTTATGATGGTCACCTGGATGGCTCTGTTCGGCGCAGGGGGAAGTCCACACAGTTAATGGCAATGGAAAGTTGCCCACAACGAGACAAGATATTGATCACATTAATTTGTGTTAAATTTGAGACATAAGTATTTAGCCGAGGCGTCTATGTTTGCTAGCCTTCTGACTTAACCCCCCACCCCACCCCGCCAGAGACAGCATCCCACCTGCAAGCGCTGTATTACCGCATCAAGCTGTTCATGAGATTCGCTGGAAAAGTTGGTGACGCCTACGCCATGCGCTTGACCCACAGGCGTCATGCTCTCTTTAAACAGTGCTACGGATTCGGGACATGCTGAGGCCAAGCATTCCCAAGCGGTCTCTTGATTTGTGGCCCTTAAGTACCTACACAGATGAGCTAGAACAAGAAGTGCGCATAGAAATCGTTCTGGATTTGCGAGTCACACTTGGAGCTTAACCTATGGTAAGCATTGGAATGGAGCCATTCTTAGTAATGCACATGGGGACTGCCATTTCATCTGCTCGTAATACCCGTTCTGCTGCTGTCATGCGGCGCGTGCTAGGCGTTACGTGTTGCGGTACTACGCTCAGCACAGCGTGGCTTAGTCGATTTGCTGCTATCTAAGACAACATGTACGCAGCCGCGCGTATTTATTGCAAACATTATTTGTTACTACTGGCGCGCACACACGTTCATAGCTGTGTTGTTCGTCCTGTACAGTTCCGCACCAATGCCATGCACCGTCAAGGAATTCAGGTATCACTTTTTATTATCAAAGTTTGCATAAAGCTGGCAAGTGGCATCAGTGCCCATTATCCGAATTTATGAACCTCCGCTCTTACTACAATACTGCCACAAACGACTTCATTGGAGACCAGGTTTATGCTAAGAGTTTAACTACTAGAATATACGCAGCATTGCAGGAAGCTGGCTGTATAACTGTTTTGTCGTCAGGGCCCAAGAGCCCTGGTCAAAGCATCCGCAAACGCATGCTATAACTTTAGCACATTATCATTAAAATAACCTTCACGTGAAGCAACTGCATCTTTGGTTGGGGCGCTTGTCCATTGCACCCCATCTGCGGTTGTCCGGACCATAACTGGTGCCCTTCGGAGCGAGGCGTTAATGACGTGCAAAGAAGAAAGTGATTATAATGAGAGTTTTGGACATACAAGGCCGATCAAATTTAATGCGTACAAACCGTTAACTTGAGGACCTTTGCCCTACAGAGGACGCAACATCTTGCTTCTGTTTTTCGAGGCGCAGGGAACGTAGTTTCACGGCACGCGTGTCCTGTAACGGTCTCTCCAATTAAGCTACTGTTTAATTTTGATAGCATCAAGGATGCCGACGCAACCGCTGAAGCCCGCGGCCTTGGACTCGGATGGCTTCCGACTGGCAACGGTGACCGGACTTCCTGTCTCTCCGGTGCTACGCGCGCTTAGCTACCAGAACAATTTCCTGGTTGAATCTGGGCTTGCACATCAGGCTAGGCATGCGCCAGCTCCAGCACAGCTTCCAATCGTCGCGGCCTCGCCCGCGGAATCTGCACCGTCCAAGACCAAGCCTTTGAGCGAGGTCCTTTCAGATGCTGGTCGCAAATCTCTTGGCGGTGGCATTCCTGGAATGGTCGCTATGGCAACACAGGTGCGTGCAGCCATAGTGGGTGGTTGCCGGGTGACGTCGACAATCGCCCTAACTGCCGACTTTCATTTGCTGACGCACGACCATGTGATGCTCGCTTTGCCTTGTACATGAGATGTTAAGTTTTGAATTGATTCATTCAATTGTTTTGTTAGGCATACCATCTGCGTCGTCCGGGCTGATGTGGGGCACGCAATTGCCATGCAAGTTCCTCGTGCGATGCTTCTGCCTCAATTATCATCACAGAACATGATTGTGCTTCTGCCCATAAGAATCATCACCCGTGTACACTTTATAGCGTCACATATATGCTGTGCACAGTGCTCTCTGCATTTTCCCTTAGCCCACGCGCGTTGTCTTGTTCGACGACAATGTCTTTTCCTTCCCAACCCTTCCATATCCACTTTCTCTGCTCGTCCTTACCAGACGATCTCCCACATTCTCACTCTTTTCTCTCGCACTTCCCGTCCAGGTCCTGAGCCTTATGTGGATGCGTACAACCATCAACTACCAGTATAGGTAGGTTACAGGCGCATGGAGACTTCCCTGGCACCTCATCCCTCCAAACGCGCCTCCACGTCCGTTGCCCAATTGCCAGTAAAGTAATAAAAACTCACAAAGTCTTATGGGTGAACTCTTTACTGGTACGTAAGACTGTTGTGCACGTTTACGATACAGCACATTATAGCACCATCCTCATATCATCATATTTGCGGGCGGCAAGCACAAGCAATCTGCGTTTTAGCGTCTAAAGAAACCTTCTCCTAACGCCTTTTTTTTAGCGCGACCACTACCCCACCCCACCAATCAAAGCAACGACTGGCACTTGCGCCAGGTCACGGGCAGGGGGCGCCCTGGGAGGGTCTTACGTCGCGTAGCAGAAAAACGCTTAGCTGATTTCATGATTAGACAGATTTCGCGGTTCGGCGTGGGATTTTTGTTTTATGTGTACTACAGGTACGGCACTGACACCATGACGGCGTTCAGGACGCTCTACAAGGAGGGGGGAATCCCGCGGTTTTACCGGGGCCTGGGACCAGCGCTGATACAGGGCCCGCTTAGCAGGTGAGCTTTGTCGTACATTAGTGTTTGACTGCCGTACAATATGCACCGGTGATCCTCTGAAATGCTCCGTAACATCATCAAACCTGTTTGAATGTTCAATTTCATTGATTATTTATTTCGGTTGCTCTCTTCCGTTAACTTCTGTTATGAGGATTAATGTTTTTTGTAAGGACGTGTGGGTTTTTAAGTGTGGACATGTTGCTCTATGTTGTCTTCCGAGGGGGGAAGCGGACCACCTGGCGCTTCCTAGGCTGCACAGGACGATGTACTGCTGCTGCTTTTACTGCTGCTGTTGCTGCTTTTACTGCTGCTGTTGCTTCCAAACTGCAAGCTATACCATTGGATCAGCAAGATTACAGTCCACCTCCTTTTTCCCATTTCACCTTCTACAACTCCCAACCTCTGAACCAGGCACACAACCGCCGCTGCTGCCTTCCTTTCCTCCCCATTGCGATATGGAACTCCACGTCGCCCCCCCACGTCGCCCCCCTCACCTCACCTCTAATCCCTTACCCTCACCCCACCAGGTTTGGCGACACCGCTGCCAACGCGGGCACCCTCGCCCTCCTGGACAGCTACGAGAGCAGCAAGGGGCTGCCAGTCGGGGTGAAGACGCTGGTGGCGTCCTCGGCTGCGGGCGCCTTCCGCATCCTGCTGATGCCGGTGGACACGTGCAAGACCATCATGCAGGCAGGGGTATCGGGGGGATCAGGGGTATCAGGGGTATCGGGGGCGGGGGGGGGGGGAAGAGGGGTCGGCTTGGTGGAAGGGAAGGGGGGAGGGCGGGGGGGGAGGGGTATTGGAGGGATTGCCCCCGCATACGCGCTTGTGTTTGTTTGTGTGTGTTTGTTTGTGTGTGTTTGTTTGTTTGTGTGTGTGTGTACGGCGTGTGTGTCCTGCTACCGGTGGGCTACTTTGGTCCCGAACTTCATCATCCTGTACCCCTGTTGTGTGTGTGTGTGTGGATGTGTGAAAAGGCACTTGTTTGCCGTAGTTGTTTGACGTACGGACATCATCATACACACACGCCCCCCTCACGGCCCCTCACTG